ATGCCCTCCCCGGTGACGTACAGGTAGAACAGGTGAGCAGCGGACATGGGCAGGATGGTGACGCAAAAGATGCCTTCCGCCACGGCAAGATTCACGACGAACCAGGTAGCTGCGTTGCGGAGGCGGAGGGAATACGGCAGCGCGAGGATCGTCAGGAGGTTCCCTGGGGGAGGAGGAGGAGGGGGTGGTGAGGCAGGGGTTGTGGTGGAAGGGAGGGGTGGAGGGGAGGGAGTGGAAGGGAGAGGGGTAGAGGGGAGCGGATGAAGAGGTTGTGTTTGTGTATGTATGTGTGTGTGTGTGCGTGCATGGGTGCGTGCGTGCGTGTGTGTACGTTTGTGGTGTGTGTGTGCGTGTGTGTTTGTTGTGTGTGTGTACGTGTACACGTGCGCGCGTATGTATGCGTGCGAACTCGTATGTATTTCTTTCGGTAGACATATGTCACTCAAAAGTTATTCCATATCATATAACCATTTACGCTACACCAACACAAACCCACAAATCACTACCAACATTCCAATTTCCATGAACCAAACTGCCATTACCAGAGGCACAAGAACTCCCCCGAGAACTTACCGAAGAACCCCAGGATGGAGATGATGATGGCGGCCACGGCGGTCAGCACGAGAGCCCAGTTCGGCGCCGGGATGGGATCCTCGTCAGCCATCACGAGGGAGGTCGAAATGGAGGTCACGAGGAGGCTTGTCTTGTCGCTCATTCCTCTTTGTTATCTGTTCGAGGTGTGTGTATTCTTTTTATTTATTTACTGTTTATTCTGATGGTTATTTGGTTTTATTTGTGTTGGGAGACACTTTAAAGATAAATGCTATTTAGGGAAAGGTCTGGAAAGTCTTTCATAAGGGTCTTGGTGTTTCTGTCTTCTCCTGCTGTTGAATTTTCACTTTATTTCATCTTTTGCGAATAAACCATCCTATTTTCGCGAATGATCAGTCTCATTTTCTAGCACGTTTCACATCACAACACAAATGGCAATACGAGAAGAAGAACAGGAAGAACGAGGTCGAACGAGGTCAAAGGTCACGAGAACGAGAGCCACAGTGCCAGGCGGTCTGCTGCCCCCAGAGCCACGAGCGTCACCCACGAAGGACCAGCGCCAACTGCTTGACATCAGCGTACTTTAACGGCGTTTAGATAACAGCACACAGGAAACAGATATAAATAACACCTAAGCATTTACTCCTGATTCCGCGCTTCTTCAACACCACAATAGAAGTACCCCATCACGTACCGCCCCTCACGACACGAAATCAGACCAGCAAATACACGCAAATCCCCCATACAATACATACATAGGAGTTAAACAATATCCCCGAGCGTGTGTGAGAGGAGTCGGGAAAATCGTTAGTCAGCTTCCCGACTTTGGACAGCGGATGTGACACGAGCTGCTGTCGGCCACCGGAGCCTCACAGGCTCTCCTGTAGGCCGCGTCAACCCTTAGTCATAGCTTCGACTAACCTTGATGATATTTGTTTATGTTTCTAAGATGAAGAATAAAAGGGTGCCGGATAGGAGTATTTCGGACCTCTTGTTTCTTGTGGTCTCAAAGTACAGGTAACGAGTAGGTG